TTAAAAAATTTCCCGTTAATTATTTTCAGAAAATTACAGCAAATCATGGCTACAGTTCCTGTTTTTCGGGCGCTGAGTGGCTCCGCAGTAGATGATAACCCAGCCACATCATGAAAAAAAAGTCTGAGGAAGAGGACCCGAAATGAAATTGAATGTTTCCTGTTACAGCTTTTATCGAAGAGCCTGGAGAAATGAATGTAGTCTTGAAGCATACGTCACTAGGCGATGCGACTTATCGAAGTCAAAAGTCTTTCTGAGAACATAGCTTAGTCATTTTAATATTGTTCACCGTATTTCGAAATCAAAATGACGTTTTTAAACGGAATTGAAACTTTCGATTTTGGCAAAAGCCTTGCCCCCCCCCCCCCGAGGATTATGTAACATTACACATTCTTAAATCATTAAATGAAATTAACACCAGTAGTTTCCTGTTTTCGTCTTTGTTGTTGCTTGACTTTGGAAGCAATACTTTGTTTTGATTTGAGGTTTTTTGTTTGTTTGTTTGTTTGTTTGTTTGTTTGTTTTGTTGTTCATGTAGAAAACAGATGCAGAAATGTGTTTTGCAATACTTGGAGTAACCATCGCAGATACATGTTTTTCTCAAATATGTGCCAATCATTTGTACTCCGTCGTATAGACGCTGGATGATAGGTCAAAGGGCTCGATTGTTCAATGACTTCACTGTATCACAAGAGGATACTCGAAAACTTGATCTGCAGACTGGAATGCTTCCATGTGCTCTTTCATTTAAACGTCACTGTTTTCTGGACATTGCCTTTAATACGGGTGGTTGTACGATGTCACTAGAAGGTCCAACGTCTTCACAATCTTTCTAAAACACCTTACCCGGCCCTGAATAACCATGTTTGCGTTCATGTGCTGCTCCTTGCATATTGTGGTGAACTGTTCGATGTCCATTTGTCTGCACAGGTCTATTTTGGTACACGTTTCATTTCAATTAATGTACCCCTCCCCCTTCTTCTTTCACTGAGATCAGTCTCTCAACGCAGTGAGAGTTACCTTGGTTCAAATCTATAACGGGGCATTCTTGGTTTTCTGAAGAGGTCTCAGTGCTCTCCATCACCTGGAATTATCAGAATGGCATTTTTCTTGGAACATGCCTGTTGGATTAATATCTGATAGAAAACAAAGCAGACTACCTCTCTATAGATTGACACATATTTTGACACAGTTTTGTTTTGGAATAAGAGAAAGATTAACCTTGTATTGTGATTACAAAATGTACAGATATTGCAATTCGTCGAAAATAGTGCCTCCAGGCAATCAATTCAATCATTTTGACCTTGAGACAATTACTCTGCATGAACGTTTTATAATCTTTATCGAATGCGTAATCTACAGACCTAAAAACGAGCAAACAGAAATATTATGTACTCCCAGCTTTTGTAAACAGTATAATTAAGTCATAAAAATGGGATTCCTAGCATTAGCGTTTCCAGCAGTCCTCAGTAACAGCCCAGAGCGGTACTTCTCAGTCTAGGTCCGACAGCAGGTGGCCTGCGCCTGTACCCCCGTTTCGGGTCCAAACTTCTCGGCTCCATTCACAGCAACACACGTATCTGTGCCTGCAGCGTTGGCTGTAGAGAAAGAGTGGTAATGTCAATTAAGATTTATGACAAATAGGAATAACGACTGCATTAAGATTTATTGGGGCTGTTGGCTGCTTGACTTTGTGTCTGTCTTTGTTGTTGTTGTTGTTTTGTTTTGATGTTGCATTTGTTGGGGGGGTTTGGGGGGGCGGTCGAGGGGGAGGGGGTTGGGGGGGGGTCTTTTTGTTTGGGAAAGGGGGGGGGGGGGTAAGATTAAAAAGTAACGACAAACTAGACATTTTGAGAGCACCGTTAGCTGAATTAATAATGTATCCCGCTAGCCTAGGGATGGACCTGGTTCGAAACTCCAATGGAACGTTCTAAACTTGGGTTGTTTTTGTGGAGTGGAATTTTTTAAAACTCTCCACTTATTTGGCTCGGTCCTATCTGAAATGGGTGTTAAATTCGAAGGTCTCGCTTCTTAAATAGCCTTGCGGTGTTGAAAGGGGTGTTAAACCTATACAATGACACAATGACAATTACCAGATTTACTATCGGTCATCTCCAAGTTGGAGAACGAGCAAAGATAATGAGAACAAGCGTTCAGAACCCTTGTAGTTGGTGCTTTCTATATCAGACCCTGATTAAATGCAGTTTCCATTGTCAGTTCGTGAGTATGGTGTGCGTGTAATCTTTCGTGTGTGTGTGTGTGTGTGTATGTGTGTGTGTGTGTGTGTGTGTGTGTGTGTGTGTGTGTGTGTGTGTGCCTTTTGTGGTAGTGAGTGTGGTGCGCGAGTATGCTTGCGCGTATGCGTATGTAGTTATGATGTGCTCGTGAGTATGTGCGTATGTATGCGTGCATGCATATGAGTTCGTGAGTATGGTGTGCATGTACGCATGTATGTGTATGGGTGTACAAGTAGCAATGAGGATTATAAACACAGACACACAGACACACAGACACACACACACACACACACACACACACACAGACACACACACACACGCACTCGCGCGCGTGCGCATAGACATAGACAGAGACAGAACTCACTGTTGATAAAGGCGCCTGCAGCTTTTGCATACTGTGCGAAGACGTTACATCCGGTCATGACGTAACCCTTAGGACATGTGACCCCGACCTGATCCGATATCTTCTTGCCGCTCGTCCCGGAGGTCACTGTGCGACACTGAAGGTTGGGACTCTGGCAGCACGCCGCGTAGGAATTCACGCCTGATGGGAAAAGTGGGGGGGGGGGGGTTAGGGAAGGGCGCATGTATAATTAGAGGACAGAGAAGGCATATGATATGTCCACTTGAAGTATTGTAAGGTATGAATGGTAGTGTATATCATTCACAGAGTTGTGTGATGCCACGATAATGTATTTGCTGAGAAGATTTGATTGTCAACGTGAAATTAGCTTTACGTACTAACTTCCTTTAGGACATTCAGCTGCTAATGGGTACTTTCCTTTTAGCAGAGACGGATTATGAAAAGTGTGTACATAACATGTTGCAATAGGCCTACTGTACGTTTAAGCCTAGAGTATTTGGGGGGTTGGGGGAGGAGAATACTTGATAACAATAAAACAGCATTTCTATAGCGCAAATTCCCGCTCAACAGCAAGCTCTATGCGTTTTACGAATCTACATTATTACCCCAGCAACCTGATAGCATTCTGAAACAGTCTCAACTTCTTGGGAAGAGTACAGTGCAAGCTGCAATTTTACAGGCACCAAAGACAAGATTTTTCGCTATCTATGGTCGGGTACCCATTCGTACTTCGGTGAAGTTCGGAAAATACGTGTAAAATGCTTTACCCAAGGATTTAACGCCAGGTCTGAGTCTCAAAGCCTCAAACCTGCAACCTCACGATTTCGATAGCCTAACCACTAGACTACCGACGCCACGCAAAAACAAGTAATAAAAACCAGTTCTACTTTTCTGGCTTATTCCCTGGTGGCTTTAGGACAGGTGCTTTACAATAAAGTAAAATTTCAACAGCTTACACATAGACAAGCACCTTGCATACAAGCCCTTTCGATGTACGACAAGCCTGTCAAATGCATACATGTGTTTTGCACCTGTAAAATACCAACAAACATTGTCTGACAAAGGAACGTTTACACGAATGACAGTCACTGTGGATGCTGGTAGATCTACCACTTGTTGTTGGAAAAAGAATCAAAGTAGCTGGTAAAATATTAATATAACGGGTTTTCATAAGGAAAAAAAAAAAAACACCCAAATGGTCAACAGGGTAACTATAATAACATAATATGTAAAGTAATATACTCTTATATGGCATGTCAGACGAATGAATGGATGACTCACCGCTCCTAAGGTTGTCGTTCTGTCCCATACACGAGGTGTTGGTGAAGATAGTGCCATCAGAGTGTGTGGTGTAGGTGAACGTGGAGCAGCCTGGGGAACACACAGACAAAACACGTGGTCGGTCATGCAACCTCAAGGCAAGCACTGCTTTAGAGGACTACGCAAATCTCTCTACAGCAGAGATCTCAAACTCAATTTCCTGATGGCCTCCGTAAATAAATAGGCTCAGATATTATTCTTGTTCTCAAGTACAGCTGATCTAATCTTCTCTGTCTCAATCAATGGCAGTTCAGAATATGAACAGTTCTCCGGAACATGAGCTTTTCTTACCCATTCCTAGCTGCCAGAGACCTCGCAGCGCTTCCTCTTACATAGCTCAGCGCCATTCCGAGTGAAATGAAAGAAAAACGTGCGGGCCGCACTAATATTAAACTTTGATGTTAGGTGATGGCCATTGATTATCGTCACGAGGGCCTCAACTGGCTCTAAATCACTGTGTCATGTCTGCTCGGCCAGCAGTCTATCTATCCGTGCCTGTTTGCCAGTTGCCATTATGTTTACTTGCCTGATTCTCAGTCACTCAGCTTCTGTCTCTGTCTGTCTGTCTGCCCCCTCTCTCTCCATCCCTCTATCTATCCATCTATCTATCTATCTATCTATCTATCTATCTATCTATCTATCTATCTATCTATCTATATATATATCTATATATATATATATATATATATATATATATATATATATATATATATATATATATATATATATCTATCTTTGTCCCTCCCTTTATCTCTTCTCTGTCTCCCTCCCTCGGACACACCGTTAGTTCCGTTGGTAGCACACTGGACCACACAGCGAATGGCCCTGGTTCGAATGCCCAATGCGGTGTTTTGAACTTGGGTTGTTTTAGGGAGTTTTTAAGGCTTTTAGCGCATTTGGCACGGTCGTATCGGAGAATGATGTGAAATCCGAAGGCCCCGCCGTTTAATAGGTCCAAGAGGATGACATGGAAACAGCGAGCGATTTTACCTTTATTGTTAATCAAAAAATAGATTTTCAGACATGGGAATTGCGAGCAGCTCCTGAATAGAAACATCATGATTATTTTACATTTTAGGGTAATCCATACCCCCCGCCCCCGCAGGGATTCTTAGTATTTCTGTAGGAGTAGGAGTGCCAGTGTTTCTTTTGGTCTTTTGGTGGCGTGAATCTGTTCTTGCGATGAGCCCAGTACCCCAAGTTCCGAAAATAAGAATATGTTACATCTTTGTTCATGAGTTGATCGTACTTTATAACTTCAGAGCAAACAAGTTTAAATCCAACTGCATGGCATCTTTAAAGTATTATTTTGATAAGAGTCTTTGTCTCTTTGGAATCGATAGCAGTCAACTAGAACATCAATCTTGCCTTTCCTTCCAGACCCTTATTTTGTCACGTCTTGATGACAAAAACAGAACAAGGGACATCTTTAACGTCACAACAGTCACATGCTAACGATAATTTTACGGAGTTCGAGACATGCAAAACGGAAATTCGATTCTTCGATGAAAATGTTCGTCGATACTAAGCGAGTATTCAAATACTTTTACCAGTAATATAGAAAGATAGGGGGGGGGGGGAAAGACTGGCTTTTCCAATGCCAGAGATGCTAGCAATTCGAATATTGAGTATTACGCAAGCTCATTATTCTATTGTGCAGCTGGTTCAGATTACAAAACAAAAAGAAAGACAAAGGAAGAAGGAAAGAAAGGAAGAAAGAAAGAAAGAAAAAAAAACGAAAGAGAGAGGGGGAGGCGGGAGAGAGGAATGGACATAGGACATTACATAAGTTTAACGTACCTTTTTCACACTGTTTCAGTGCTCAGTAAAACAAGTCCACTCTTTCGTCTCCTTAGCTCCGTTATTTCTTTTAATTCCCTGACATGTTGGTACACCAGACTGATGGATGCCCCCACTGGAGTATGTAGTATAAAGATAAAGAGCTCTGGTGCAGGTAAAATGACTCATAGTATATAATAGTATCGGCAGTAAGAGATAGCTAAAGACTCTGACACACGATCAGACAGACAGGCAGACAGGCAGGCAGATAGATAGATCTATAGGTAGATAGACTTACCTATGGCATATCAGGTAGACTCACCTAAGGCATATGCCTGCCCCTGACAAGGCACCTCCACCTTGTCGTCCATCCCAGTACCAGAGGGTCCTGCCGTGCGGTACTCACATCTCAGACCCTGCGCACTGCAGCACCGAGCCACGGCCTCAACCCCTAGGGGGAAAACACCACATGGGTATGTTAGTGAGACGTGTGGATAAACGTCCTGTACTTCAAGAGACAGCATAACAGATGTATTATGGCAGAGAGATGAGAAATAATTCTGGACGTGTGGGTGAAATACTCTGTACTTCTAGAGACAACATAGCTCAGGTACAACAGTGAGACGTGCGGATAAACATCTTGTATTTCTAGAGAAAGCGCAACACACACACACATGTTATTGAGTCGGAAAACAATGACTCTAGATGAATAAATAAATATCTTGATACGTACTGATACTGAAAAACATCTTGCATTTTCAGAGAAAACCCAACGCGGAATGATTAAGATAATATGGTGTAGAGATGTGGAAACCTTTATATGTGTGTGTGGATTGGGGGGGGGGGGGCATCATGTACAGTGGGCACAACACAACAGAGACTATGGATTTGAGGTGAAGAATGTATTTCCACGGGTGGGCAAACATTTTGTACTTATACTGTTCTCCTAAGGACAGCAGAATTTAGCGCGGAGAAAAATACTAACTTTAGTCTCGAAAGGACAAGGCCCTGATCCTGTAAGAGTAAAAGCAACGTTTCTCTCCAGGATAAATTTATTATTCAGAATGAGACAAGGCAGAAGATAATTGCAAATTTTTACTCTCCTGTAACACCTCTAATCTTCTGGCACTCATATGACCTTATGCAGTTGCAAGCGCCGTCAAACCTCAAAACAAAAAAAACTCTTCCTGTCAGGGCGTACTCGGCTGAGACTGAGAGAGATAAAACGTCCCAGCAGAAAGCTCATGACCCTCGAACAAAATTCTCCACACATGGCATTCAAACTAGGGTCTTCCACGTGCAACGGTGAGGCGCATAACCGCTACAGCGCAGACGCCGGTATACTGAACGACTAACCTGCAGCAGATCCGTATCCGTTCATTGCTCGACACGCCTGCTTTCCACCGGACATAAGGATTTCTTCCCCATCACGGTGCCAGTCGCTGTCCTAGAGACAGAGGTGGGGGGGGGGGAGGATTCAAAGCAGTTGTGTGAAAAGTGTCGAAGAATAATACTAGATAATAAACATGTGCTGTTGCGCTGTGAGTGTGTGTGTGTGTGTGTGTGTGTGTGTGTGTGTGTGTGTGTGTGTGTGTGTGTGTGTGTGTGTGTGTGTGTGTTTTCATCTTTATCGAAAACTGGACAAATAAGGGGAGGGCCCATGGAGAGTTGGGGGGGGGGATATGGGGGAAATCGTTTCTGAGGCCCCATAAGTAATATCCAGTCAACGCCGCTGCTTGGAGGTACCAATCGATGATGTAATACAGAGGAAGGCATCTGAGATAGGAGCAGGTCAATTTTTGGGATCAACAAAAATAAAAAAGACGCGTGACGGTGAAGGCGTGCCGTTTTTATTTTATTGGACTAAGTATGGATAAAAATCTTTAGCCAAAGATCTTGACATAATCGCTTTCTTAATAAATCTTTCGATGTCGTAGATTCAGCATAAGCTTGTGTAAAAATCAGCAATTTGTAATATTTCAAGGTTGATTCGTTTGAGAATCTGTAAGTTATGTTCAGTTTGTACCCCCCCCCTAGGTAGGGGTGATCTAGAATAATAGATTCACCAAAAGGCGCTCCTAACCAGCAGAATGAACTGGCTGGCCATAAAGTGTAAGGCCCCAAATTGTATCTAAAATGTCATCGGGCTTCGCAAAGATCATAAAACGAAATTACTTCCATGATCCCTAGAGTGGCCGGGTAAAGACTGTGACTGCATATTGCATAGTCAAAATTATAGACGTTTGAAACGTGAGCAAAGTAACTCACAGGTATACTGCCGCATTTAATTTTCCTTTACGTGTTCTAACCTTGAGCCAACTGGAACAGCCGGTGAGGACCTCATCTCCTTGACACGTGACTTGAGTAGTTTTACCGACGCCGACACCAGAGGCTGGTGACCTGCGCGTGGTGCACGTGAGTTGTGAGTTCTGTGACGTGGAGCTGGCCTGACCCAGGGTACGCAGGTTAGCCCGCGTGGTCTGTGGGTTGATCTGGACGTTCATGGTGAACGGGTCTATCTTCTTGGGTAACTGGATCGCATCTAAGATGAAAGTGTTTATTAAAAGCGTGATGTAAAATTTTGTTTCTTTTCTTACGATTAGAAAGCCAGTGGATAGCTCAACACCATGACACATGCAAATCCTGAAGAGAAAAGATGGCGAAACAAAGTACAAAATATCTGTTATTTCATAGTATTTACCACAGCCTGCATTTTCTGACATCATCATCGTCACCATCATCATCATCGTTTTCATCATCATCATCATCATCATCATCATCATCATCATCATCATCATCATCATCTTCATCATCATCATCATCATCATCATCATCATCATCATTATTAACCTTTCTCATCCCCTGTCGGAGTATAGGCCACAACATCAGCCTCCCCCCACTCCCACCCTCTGTACAGACACTTCTGTTTGTGGGCTATTGTATTCACTTCTGATAAGCTGTACGCCATCTCCTTTGGGTAGAAATCTAAGTATCTCCTCTAAGCACTTTTAAGGCCTTTCTTTCTTTCTTTCTCTTCGCTTGTTGATTCAATTTTAAGACTCGGTGGGTAATGTTTGTTTTCGCTTTTCTTACTTACTTACTCACTGCCCGTTACGCCATCTGGCGTTTAGGGCAGCAACAAAGGATCTCCAGCTCTGTCTGTTTTGGGCCATCCTGATCAACGTCCCCCACGAATGGTTCCAGGACTTCATTTTAGACTCTACTGTGCGTCTCCAGGTTACTTTGGTTTTCTTAAGATGTGTCCAATCCACTTCCATTTTCTTTTTTGACTTCAACATTTATTTTCTGTTGATTTGTTTGCTCCTATAATTGTTCATTTTTACGCTGTCGGTGTCAGACCAATGAATTTTAAAGCATCTCACAATATGCCCCTCTCTTTCGTTTCCCACAGGCACAGTTTATAAACAGATTTACACGATTGCATAACCTTGAAAAATCAAGTGTAAAGAGTAAGATATTGTGTAGTATAATTATTGACAATGAAGTATCAATAATATGAATTATCTTCAGAAACCTTAAATGAAACATTTCTCAGGAAAACAGTTAAAAGCTTCTATTTTCAATACATTACTATTGGACTTTGGGCGGGGGAGGGGGTATCTTCAGTTTGAGACATATGGTTGGTTAACAGGTACAAGAAAAAAAGACTACATTACATAACTCCAAGCAGATCATGGCACTGAATTGTGCAAATGTGTATTTTAGATTTAGATTTAATTAATCTCGCTTCTTATTTGACAAAAACAGTCTAGGAGTCTATAACCATGTTGTTGGAATGGGATTGAAAGTAAAGTATGTACATGTCCCCTTCGTAATGCCCTTCTATTTCGAAAATTAGAGAAGGAAGGAGAAATATGTAGGCCTAACTCTTCTTAAAAAAAACAACCCACCCCAACTCATCTTCTGTCATTGATGGCCAGAGACCAAATGTTTAGTATGCAGAAATATACAAAAGACAGTGTAAAGAGCTTACCGCCGTTGCCAGAAACAGAAATAGAAACTGTTTTGTCCTGTGTGCCCAAACTGAAGGTGGTCCTCTTTATCGGCTTGCCCTTGTACCAGACCACAGCCTCGTAGTCTCCTTGGAAAGCGCGCAGGTTAAAGGAAGTTCCAGAGGCCAGGGACCGATTCACGTGGGTGCTCCATGTCTCCTTGGTCAGCTTCAGGAACCGTTTGCCGGACTCGTTGAGCTGTTGACAAAGACGGCCGGGGCTTCAGGGCTCATTTGTGAGACAGATACGCTGAGGCAAATACTCACACTAATGTTTATCACTATCATTTTAAGGATGAAGATACTAATAACACACAGAAGGAAAAGAAACAAGATTAATGAATTGCCAGAAATGTTCTATATGTTCAAACTTTTTTAAAAAATGTGGTTAGTGTTTTACGGCGCTCACAGCTGCATAAGGTAACACACGGAACACACCAAACATTTTCAGTTTTTAAGAAATTTTTAATTTGCCAAAGGCTACTCTTATCGATTTTGGACCACCAAGGGATCTTTAACGTGTGCAACTTTCATACGGGACCTCCGAGAATTTCGCCTTTGTCCGAGAAGGCTAGGTGTAGATCTTACCTACCATACGATCAGGGGTGTGGCCGAAAAACAGCAGTAAGAAAGAGCCAAGGAGAAGCAGTAGAAAGGCTGCAAAAAGAGACAGGAGCCCAGAGGAGGGAGGCTAAGGAGGTGAGGAGGTGGGGGCAGAAAGTGGAGATGAAAGCAGACGACAGAACATTGTTAGAGAGCAGGAAAGGGTGTGAAAGGAGAAAGTTTGAGAGAAGAAATTTTTCCATCGCTACCCGGATACGAACCCTGGACCTTTTGAATTTGAGGCAAACACCTTAACCTCTAGGCCACGAGGGCCCCCTTTGTTCAAACTGGTAGAAAATATAAGTATGGAGATGGTTGCGTATATACGAAATACGAATTGAGTGTGTGACTATGAAATAATCAATGTAAGTATATTATTGGATAAATAGAGAGGATAGAGAGAGAGAGAGAGAGAGAGAGAGAGAGAGAGAGAGAGAGAGAGGGAGGGAGAGAGAGAGAGAGAGAGAGAGAGAGAGAGAGAGAGAGAGAGAGAGAGAGAGAGAGAGAGAGAGTGAGAGAGAGAGAGAGAGTTATTTCTCAAAGAATTGAAAAGACAGTCAGACAGAAGGCTCACTGAGAAAAGCAGGCACCATACTACAGAGAGAAATAACAACGCAATAGATATTAATCCCTTTTCCAAGGCTACGTACCAGTCTGCTTTGTCGTTCGGATCGTGAGCACCAAGAGTTAATTCGGTTACAAAAATAGGCAGACCTCCTTTAGCCACTACATCAAGCCGGTACTGAGGAGAGGAAAGTAATAAGATAAGATAAGATAAGATAGGATAAGATAAGATAAGATAAGATAGGATAAAATAAGAAAACACTGTATTACCCCAAAGGGAAATTTTTCTGCTGTACAGGACCGTAAAAACGCATGCAGGTATACATAAAAATTTAAGTTGTATATTACTCTCATTATTATTCAATATGGAAAAAAAGTAAAGCTGACAAAATGTACATATCACATCAGATACATCATTCAACCGCACGCAGGAATGTCATTACAAGACCTTTAGAGTTACATGTGTATAAAGATACAAGCTCGAAAGAGCAATACACATTGATGTTTATTCTGACAATAGACTTATGCAAGATGGTACAAAATAACTTCTTGTATTTATATTTCTTTCTTTGCATTTAGAAGTACATATCTGCCGGTGCGTGATCTTACAATTTGCATGATGGTGTGATGGGTCGTTTATAGTGCTTTTTATCTTTTTTATATGTTAGGCGCTGTACATTTCATCAATTCTGCAGTGGCGAAGCGTCTATATAATCAAATAATCACGGGTTCCCTTCCTAATTTTGAAACATTGTCGCTGTCAAATTCACTCATAAATTAAATGTAAAAAGACGTTCATAATCAATAATGAACAGTATGCCTAACATTAAAAACGGTTTCACGGCCACAGAAATACCCTGCTCACCCCTCTCGGCCCACTCCATAAGCAGTCGCAAGCTTTAATTAAGTAAGCTTAAAGTGAGGCTGGAAGAGTCTACAAATAGAGTTGAAGGGAACATGTGCATAGCAGTCAAAACTGTTTCATTGCCACATATACCCTGTTCACCCCTTTGGGGCCACAGTTATAAGCAATCAGAAGCCCTGATTATGTAAGCTAACTAACACTGGTCGAGTCTACCTCACAAATGTGAGGGGAACTAACTCCTAATAATCTCTTGACTGCTGCATGTGCTTGTTTTTTTTCTCTCGACTTTTTACTGTCCTATAATCAGATCGTGACCTCGTTTATGACGCCAGCTACTGGCCGCAAAAGGCTAGACAAAAACAGCCAAATGTGAAATTTACAAAAATGATAATTGTCATGTTCTACCAAAGAGTTAGACTCACTGGTAGATCTATAACATATATCTCTGCTTCTTTGCTTTGTGTTTGTGTATTCACATCTAAAGCTAAATTTAGTTTTAGTTGGAATTGATATTTAATAAGATACTTTCCCGATTATTTTGGCGGTTGAACATACAATATGAATTCCGGATTTGTTTTCATTCACAACTCGTCGCCGCCTCGAGTAAGATCTTTGTGTGACATCTACAGGCCATATCTGGTCCCGTTTCACTTTGATTACCCTGTCAAACAAGTCAGCGTTCGCCCCTGAATTGTAGTAAAGTCATATCCAGAGATCCTGCTGGCTTTCTTAATGGTTCTGTAAAATTGTTCTTTAACTTTTACCCTAATGTAGAGCAATAAGGACGGGAGGTCCAGTTTTGTCTTTCTGTCTGAGCATGCAGACGTCAATTAAGGTAAAATCCTGCTGGAGACACACCAATAAACAACAAAGGACATACCGGGACAAAATTAAAATTCTGTAGAATAGAACATGCTAATTGCTACAGAACAGACGAGAGAAGACAACAAAAGGTAAGAAACAAGAATACCGCTTTATGGTGAGGCTTTATAGTATTTTTGGTATTTTGGGCTTTTGCGTCTTGCATGGACGCACCCGAAAAGGTCTGTCTGCATGCCACTTATAACTTTAATAAGGGGATTTATTGGAACATTATTATTGTTCTAAAAGTGTGTTTGCTTGTGTGCCAGTGTGTAAGGGTGTGTTCAAATGTTTATTTGCGTGCGTACTCGTATGTGTAAGTGTGTATACCCTTCTCTTTCTCTCTCTCTCTCTCTCTCTCTCTCTCTCTCTCTCTCTCTCTCTCTCTCTCTCTCTCTCACTCTCTCTCTCTATCTCTTTCTCTTTCTTTCTCTCTCTCTCTGTCTCTCTCTCTGTCTCTCTCTCTCTCTCTCCCTCTCTCTCTCTCTGTGCATGCATGTGTGTGTGTGTGTGTGTGTGTGTGTGTGTGTGTGTGTGTGTGTGTGTGTGTGTGTGTGTGTGTGTGTTGGAATTTTATGTTACACAAATTAATGTGAAAGTATAAATTGAGTAAATATATATTAGGAGCTCCCTCTTCTCTGCGTAAATATGTGTCTCGGTACTGTATTTCTACTGGCGACGATGATAAGGTTGATTGCTGGGCCTCAGGGATGAAAACCCCGATTGAAATTTCAATGGGGATCTCAGTCGTGGGGAAGATATCGTGGGTGACTACCACCTTGACATTACATTTATGATATGTCAAGTTGTTTTGAAAACATGCCAGAAGATTAGCAGATGGATGACTATGTACTAGTTGCCTTACTTACATTGATGCTGTCAGGGTTGGGCTCCTCGTAATCATTGAGATGACTTTGTACTCCGACCCCGCCAAGGCCGACATTGGCCGCTTTGAATTTCTGGATCTGGGACAAATAGCTCTGAGGACGGATCGAAATCAAATCATCTAACTGTGTAACTGCTAAATTGGGAGAAACACATTTTTGTCTCAAATTATGTGATTCATAACAGTAATTATAAATGAAGACACTATTAAACATTTCAAGAATAATGCTTTACACAATTGAGCAATTGTTGTAGATAATAAGAACGAAACTATTTTTGTTTTTTGGGGGTTTTTTTCATTTTTCTTCTGAAAATCAGTGTTCACGCCTACATGGATAAAAATGGACAGCGATGAAATGAAAGTACATGTAATAAGGGCGAAAAAAACAAACATTTACAGTTATCTCCGTAAAGGAAGGTGAGTTACAACATGTCGAAATAAAACATGCATACAATAACTGAGCCGCACATAAATGCATTCATTATGGTGTGTTCACTTTGACTCAAAGTTTGAGTGAAATAAAATATCAAGGGTTCACAGAAGCCAATCGGGTAAGCTGCTGAAAGAAACATAGCATAGTACTGCTGGGTTCTTTGGTTCCCTGAGTTTCCATAGGTTTCATGGTAGGCATTTACAGTTCGGCCGTTGAAACAATTCTTTTACGCAGGGAAACAAACAGAAACTGAAAGTGGAAACGAGACTTCAATAGCATAGATTTCCTTCGTTGAATTTCTATATGAAAGCAAATAAAGCTGCTCTTAAGGGGGAAGGGTGGAAGGGGGGAAGGGGGAGAGGGAAAGGGACATGAACAGAGGCAATATGCTCCCATGGTTGTTTTAGTTTCAGTTTTGTAACTTCTCTTAGACATCGTAGAAACTAGTGATTTCCGGTTCTATGAGGCTTTCAGTTTGTCAAAGCCCGGGGTCCCTACTTCACCGCGTCACCTCTCGTTATAAGCGGCATTTAAGGTAAAGTAAATTTCTCTTAGATACAATTGGTCATTTAAAAGTGGGATATAATGATGTACCTGTGTCATTTCACCGCTCTTCACCACATTGTACTCATTGAGGAAGAGTGTGGGGTTTGGGTCAGCTGCGTGAATCTCTCGGAACATGTGCTCTGAATAGAGAGGGTTTCCTGAGTGCTCCTCGTAAAAATAGCCATGCAGTAGCTCGTTGTTCACGTCCCAGTGAGCCAATCTGTGGATGTGATTGTTATGGCAAGTGAGAAATACTAGCAGAACAAGATAACATTGATTCAAATCTTATAATAAAGACAGAATAAATAATACCTTTCTTTTCTGCTACACTGTTGTAATTCGGTTTTCAAACTCATGTCATGTTGAAATAATAAAAGGTTTTGACTTTTTCATCTTTGACAAAAGTGTCTCTAACCTACTTTCCCTCACTAGCGAGCTAGGGGAAGGTTTCAACCCAAGAAAATCCTCACTTGTTCTTTGTCTGTGCCGTCATGTAAGCAATACGATCATCCACGGTTGTCTTGAATTCTGGAGCGGCCAATCCCTTGACCCACTCAGGATTGTTAAATGGGACAGCCCAGAACATGCAGTGACCTCGCACTTTGATTCTGGTGAAGGAACATATAACAGTAATGATTAGGACAAAATTCATAACATTAAGGCACGGTAAATTAGAACTCTGCAGAGTAAAAGAGCATAAGTAGGATGAACTTTATCGTTGCCTGAAGAGTTTCACTCAGTCCGCGTGTAAACAAATTCAAAAAAGAATACCTAGGTATACGTAATTGAAATTATGATGTTTAAAAGAATAACTTAAAGATCGATCCTTTTCTTTTCGGTTCAATCTAGAGATTAAAGTAATTATTAAAACTTTATCATCACCTTCCCCATCTCCAACTCCCACCCACGCATCCCTTTTCGTAAGTTCCTTTTTCTTAGATTTTTGTTCTGGTCACTGGGCCCAGACTTCTATCTTCGAAAATACCAAATACCAAAGACAACGCTTTGAATTGTTATGAAACCTAATATGTTGCACTGGAAAACTTAATTCCATCTTTTTGGACAATAAACATCCCTTGTTCCCTCCAAATAAAAATATCGGTCAGAAGTAAAAGACCGAGGCCTCTGATCTGTAACAAAGAAAAGATATTAAAGAACATCATTCTTACCATCATCCATTAAACTTCTATGGTCTTAATCACCCGCGCAAACTTGAAAATTAATTCCTATCAAACTGAAAATGTTTAATGAGTCCTGCACTCTCATATGACTTTATGCAGCCTCGAGTGCCGCAAGCACCAAAACAGAGCAAAGGCTGAGAAAGACCACCGAACAATTAAGTAAGTGTTTGCGTTAGGGAAGGGGGGGGGGGCATGCATATTCTGTAAAATTTGTTGTTTTTAAGCCTGTACAATAAGTAATTTACCCGTTACGATTGAGGACATCGGTGGCTGCTACAGCTACCCTGTAGTCTGGGTTAGTCTGAAATATAAGAAAATAATACCATGGAAATAAGAGGCTATTATCAAGAAAAAAATAATTTAAAAAATAAAATTGTTAGTTCAAACAATGCATATAAATCAGACATTTCTATTTACATGTAATATTACAACAACAAAACACTGTGTTCTTTATTTCAAACGTATGAGTAGGAGCATATCTGCCTGCATCTGTTACCATTATAGTCTCCCAATATTCACTACTGGATAGCAAATACCATTTGCTATAACTAAAAGTACTGGAAATAGCAAGATGGTAACGATAACAGACCTAATTATACCATCGTGGTGATGGCATTATTTGAAAGCAGCACCAATGAAGCAAGCAGGTGAATGACTACACAGAGACTTGTATACGTAGGCCTACTCACCCTATTGCCCCTGTTAAATCGCCATTTGTAGTCCTGTATCGTGGCCCAGTTGAACATGTAGTAGTACAACTGCTGGAACTGGGCATAGTCCGAGCTTAAGAATTCGTCAGGTCCGGCCACGGAGCCCCAGGCAAACAAGGGCTTCAAGTGGTTGATCTGATTAAGGAAAATTATTTTAGAAGCCTTTTCTTTGTTCTTACTAATTTAATGATAAACAATAAGAACAAATAGCATTTGTTTGACTCAGATTCCCGTTCAACTGCAAGCTCTACGTGCACTTTAATCTATATTATTATTATATTAACTTATATTAACCACTCTAAACATCTCTCTTCAACACGATTCTATGTTCGAGGAGTCATTCGAAGGTCTTCTACTATAGAAGCAACCAACCACAAGTCAAAAGCCAACATTCGCATTTTACATATTTCTTTTCTGTGGCTTGTTTCGTACAGCTGTTAATAATGTATTTCCAGTTGTTTTCTAACACATGTTCGTTAATCTGGGGGGGGGGGGGGGAACAAAAATTGTAGAGCGCTGTCTACTTTTTCCTCTTCAAATTGTGTGGTTGGCGCTAATGTGCATCTGGAAATAGAGAGTCTTTCTTCGGGAAAATCCCAGAGAATAATTCCGCAGACGTTTTATGACATGTGTCTCAAGCACTTCATTTCTCGGAATCGTCCCTCCGCCCTTCCTCTCTCGAAAACGTACACCCTTCCCCCCTCCAAAAAAAGGAAATCCAAGTGGTGAATCGGATGTGTAAGCTATGAATATCACTTGTTTGTAATGTAAAGTTACTGTGTCTGCTGAGGAAAATACCGACGTACAAACAAACACTGGCGTCTGTGATGTCGCGGTTATGCGTTTCGCTGTCGCAGACAGGAGTCATGAGTTCGATTCTCGTGTAGGGCAGTATCCCCGTCCATCTGCTGGAACGTTTTATCGCTCTCAGCTCGGGTTGGCCGTGGCGGGGAAGGTCGAAGCTGTGTGACCTCTGACTGATCTAAATTGTGTCGATGTGGGCGTAAAAAAAATACAATTATCCTTCTGTCTTACTTTTTATGAGCATCAACCTCATATACAGCTGAC